CACGGTCGTGAGCCTCGGTTGCCGTAAACCGACCATTACAGTCACGTGATACTACGAATCACGTTCAATCACTGAACTTGCTTATTTGGTTATTTGTATGCCTATGTTAATCAATCTTGAAAAAACATGTCTCAGATAAACATCGCCACCAACGGTGGTTTGTTTGGTATCAGTCCGGTTAGATTAGCGCCCTCTCCGATGCTACTTTCCAATGACTAAGTATTTCGTCATATTTAAACCCCATTTCCCCGAACATCTCCGTGTTTCGGTTTGCTGTGGACAACGTATCTCGATCGTTCCCGAATCGTTCTTGAACCACGAAACACGGATCATCATGGCTACTAAAATACCTGTTGATAAGTTCGATGACGACCTACTGACATGTCCTGTTTGTTTGGAACGTTACAAGAATCCAAAAATTCTACCTTGTTATCATTCCTTCTGTGAGGAGTGTTTAGTGAAGCTGAATGGGCCGCCTGGCAAGGTGATATGCCCCATCTGCAGACAAGTACATATCGTGAGTAACATTCACACACTCCCGCTAAGTATAATGATAGATTCTGTCATAGACATTATTAAAACTCATGAGAGTCAGCGAGGTGATGGATCCTGCCAAGGTTGCGAGGAAAACTCTTCAACAGACATTTGTATAGATTGCGCTGTGGATTTGTGCGAAACGTGCTCTAAAGCTCACAGTAAAATGCCAGTTAGTCTACGTCATCGTATTCGGCCTATTGTTGATTTCCAAGCGGTCGAATTGCGAGAATCATCGATGGTCGCTATTTACTGCAGTTCTCATTCAGATAAACTTGTCGAACTTTATTGTGAACAATGTCGAATACCTACATGTCTTTTATGTTTGGAGTCGTGTCACAAAGGTCATGAAGTGGTTGCCCTACAGGGGGTAGCTGATAACTTATGTATGGAAGCCAACGATCGCATAAAGCAATTGGATCAGAAAAAACGTGAAGCGGAAGTGAATAAAATAAAAGGGAAAAAACAATTGGAAGAATTGGCAAAAACACATTTACATCGTGAACAGCAAATAAAGAAACATTCACAGGAAACTATTGAGAAACTAATCAAAATAGTAACCCTAGAAGAAAACAGTCATTTGAATAAACTAAAAACGAATTATGATAAACTCAATAAAGAGATCTACAATGAAGTGCGCCGCTTTGAGACAGTTGAGAAACAACTGAAGAGCACAATTACAATCATAAGCAATTTATTGCAATATAGCAGTGCTGCACAACTGATGAAAACGAGCGAAGAAATATATAGACAACTGAATCAACTGGAAAGTATCACGATTGATCCTCTTGATGAAATGCGTGACGCACTTCCCCTGTTTCGTCCTGGGAACATTGTTCTACAGGGATCCCTGGGTACGTTTCGTACATTAGAATCACCAGATGCCGTATATGCAGAGATGGAATTGGAGAAAAAGATTGGGGGCGAGGGCACAGCACCAGGAATGTATGACGTACCACTTGGAGTAAGTGTTGACACACGTGGTCACATTGTGGTGGCTGATAATAATAATCAGAGGATTCAGACAATGGATATATGTGGCAGACCCAAATCACAGCTACCATTTAAAGGATACAGTAAACCAGTCAGACCCATAGATGTAGCAGTATATGATAATACTTACTTTGTTACAGATGGGACACGGGGGTTAAATGTAGGGAATAATCAAGTGATTGTATGTAATATTTCTGGCAAGGTAATAACGTGTTTCGGTGGGGAACAATTACATAATCCATATGGAATTGCCATCAACCATAAAACTGGTATTATTTATGTAGTAGATCAGGGGGCATATTGTATTCGATTGTATGAAATAGAAAGTTTCAAATATATTAAGTCAGTAGGATGTAGGGGTAATGGGAATTGCCAATTTGAATATCCACAGTTTATAGCTATTAATAATAAGGGATGTCTGATAGTTTCAGATGCAGTTACCAATCGTATTCAAGTTCTCACCTCCGATGGTGGATTTAAGTTTGCATTCTGTGGCTCTCCGAATGGCAAGTTTCACCTACCATATGGAGTTACCACTGATGGGAAAGATAATATTTATGTGTGCGATGGTCGCAATGATAGAGTGCAAATGTTTAACAGTGAAGGAAAGTTTATAACCAATATTGCTAATGGCAGAGATGTACTGTCCTTTCCAATAGGCATAGCAATTACTGGTGATGGAAAGGTTGTAGTAACTGACAGCACATACTTTGTTAAAATATTTTCATAAATAAATATCAATATTCCTCAAAATTCATGATGTTTGTTGCACTAATTCACTCTATTTAAGTTTGTGTATAGCTTTATGAGACATTCTATTTGCACTAGGTTTTGTCCACATAATATGCAAATTAGACAATTTAAACATCAGTTTCTACGTTACCAAGAACTTTTAATTGCCAAATCCTGACACCATAATAGTGTGTATCTAATATTATAATTTGCGTCCTGAATGGATGGTTAATTCAAATGTCAACAGTAATTTGATAATATACATTTATTAACATTAACATTTGGAATTTCTTTTTGATGTAACATAGAAGGTTTTTTTTACTCTTTGTCGAGAATCGCTTTTAAATGACTTGTCTTGCAATTTAGAATGTACGGATTATACAAGACTCATTGTGATTATTCATAGTGAATACATTAATTGAACGCAGGTTTAAAACTGTACATGTTGTCATGAGTCCATTTCTCAGTCCAAAGTTCAATCCGATAACACGTTAAATACGATACTGCTAAAAACGTCTAATACGAGCTTCATAAGATTAGTGTATGATTCAAAAACCTCGCAAATGTTAAAAAAATAATTGTCCAAATTTTAGCTCCCATGAGTGTAGTGCACAATGAGTAATGTTGTCCCAATATTAATGTTTTCAATGGGTGTTAATCAGGCATTTCTATCCTCCATAATCGTGATTCATTCTGCATTTAAGCTTCATGTCAGTTGAGTATTTAAAGTTGAATGCCAAAATTTAGTTGTTGCCGATGAAGTGGAAAATAATACGGCACAAAGTTACGTGTATTAATTAAGTAATTTGCATATGAATGAAACCATTTATTATTATGATTTTTAACACAAGTTTTCTCGAATGTATACAAACTTAGTACATGTATATTGTATATGTGTCTGGTAATTTGATTGATAATGTATTCGTAATAAATAGTTGCATTACAATAAACTATTACTTCTTTGTTTACTCATGTTTCAATTCTGACACGACTCTGAGTGAGAATAACAATGTAATCCAAATACATATTTATACATTGCTTGTCTGGCGCTACAAAAAATAATCAACACACATAATGAGTAATCACTTATAATTACAGTCATTTATAATAATAATTTTGTATTTAATATGCCAAATAACATATGTAGATGGCAAATTCGCATACATCAAAATTAACAGTTTTTAATCGGTAACAATTAATTTAAATACTAGTATATACATAGACATCATTGTTAATATGTTTTGCGATAATGTTCATATCAGCGAAGACTCTTATACTTATACAAACCGTGTGGTTTGCAATCATGTCATTTTTTTGTACGATTTGGTGTTGATATTTAGCGTGGTGTAGCTAGTTAGAAAGACCCCACCCCTGATTAGATAGCTGATGTGTCAGCCATTAGACATGACGTAATCGTTGTCTGGGTACATGTCGGGATTTGTAATAAATTAAACAATATCTTGTTCCCAGCAAGTTTGGAAATTCCCAAATCTATAAATAGACCTCTACACTAGGACCCAGCGGAAATCCCCTAGTTTATAAATAGAACGTGCTCTCTATTGTGTCTTGCATTTCGACCTCTCATTTAGAGATATGTGTTGCAACAGTAGTTGATATGCCCACCGAGTGCGGTGACAATGCATGATTAAGTCTACCATAACTTTTCACCTAGTCTCATTGTAAAGCTTGGCAATGGCGAGCGTGAATGAGTCTACTGCGTTCTTTCGCCAAGCTATTGTTCCCAGCAAGTTTGGAAATTCCCAAATCTATAAATAGACCTCTACACTAGGACCCAGCGGAAATCCCCTAGTTTATAAATAGAACGTGCTCTCTATTGTGTCTTGCATTTCGACCTCTCATTTAGAGATATGTGTTGTAACAGTAGTTGATATGCCCACCGAGTGCGGTGACAATGCATGATTAAGTCTACCATAACTTTTCACCTAGTCTCATTGTAAAGCTTGGCAATGGCGAGCGTAAATGAGTCTACTGCGTTCTTTCGCCAAGCTTGGCAGTGGTTTTAAATATATATTTCTTTGCCTAAACAAATTTGCCACTGCCTGACTAATAGATGAGTTACTCAGAAGATATTTATTATTTTCTGATTTCTTAGTCTTACCCTGCTGGTTGCAATCTACACAATTTAAATACAAAAATTGTTAATAAAATTGAATTCAAAACTAAGAAATAAGGTAGGGCCAAGTACTAACCTTGTGGTATACTACATGATATAGGAAGTTCCCCAGATGAAACATCATTTGAAAAAAAAAAAAATTGTGATCTATCTTCTAGATAACATTTAAACCACTTATTTGAAAGTCCGCGTATACCATAATGATCCATTTTTTCCAGAAAAATGTATGATTAATAGTAAATTCGATAAATATTCCAATAGTTGACTTGCCATAATCAATTTGAAGGAGTAGTGTGTTTATTAAATTTATTAGGGAAAGCTTAGTGCTGAATTTATTACGAAACCCGTATTGATGCTTGTAAAGAATTTTCTCTTTCTCCAAATAATGCAGTAGTTGTTTGTTAACTATTTTTTCTAGAACCTTGCTAATAAGGGGTAACACTGAGATTGACCTATAGTTCCAGGGCATATTTTTGGGGCCTTTTTTGTAGACGGGCGTTACCTTTGCCATTTTTAATGCATTTGGAAAATTGTCCCTGTAAAAATGATAAATTAAAAATAAAACAAAGTGGTTTTAAAATGATATCAGCTCCATCTACAAGAAGTCGTTCCGGTAAACAGTCATAGCCAGACGATGTTTTTCTGATCAAGATGGTTTAATGTCAAAGCTACCTCCTGTGGTTGGAGCAAGGACGAAGGAATTCACATTGGGGTCATTAAGAAAGTAATCAAAATGTTTTGGGGGATTGGTAATATATGAGACAAGGGTGGGTCCAATATTAACAAAGCAATTATTGAAGTTATTGAATGTAATTAGTAATGTCATCAATAATTACCAAACCTGATATCATTGCTAAATTTTACATTATGGAAATCAACTTAATACAAAACAAAATATACGTGTATTTTAAAATTAATTTCGCTGCACTACTATTTATATGCATACACCGAGACTGTAGCGCCCTCTACGGCAACTCATGTCAGAGATTGCACAACAGAGTGCATTGCTGTCGTCATGCTAATAGTAAAGTATAAATATATATTCACTTGTCAATGTTATCAGGTGAGCCGTGGCGTAGTGGTTTTATGTCATACGAGACTAAGGCTTGTGATTACTCCTCCATAAGCGACACTGGCAGAACCCCGCTCTGCCAAATCGACACTCACTTCTTGGACAATTTTTAGCCATTGTTTTTTCCTCATTATTATTATTCCTATTAAAACTGTGATGTTTATAA